CGCAGAATCTAGGGAAAAGGCGTGACGAGTTGCTAGCAAGCTTGGGCTAATCGAAGCCAAGCATGTGTGGCAAGAAATGTCACCAGCTTGGAATCTTCACTGTACCTAGCTGCTTTCTGAGAAATTTACTTCACCAACACAAAACGTCTGTAAACTTTAAAACATCTGCAGTCGCGCACTGCGCGAACCATGGCCATTCCAGCTTCGGGACGGGGAGACCTCTTCGATGAATTCCAAAAAACAAGCTACTAGTAGCAAAGGGCATCGCTACTGGGAGCAAGGACACTCCTGGGGGGGCTCCTGGCATCGCTACTAGTAGCATTCTTATTAGTAGGAACAATGTTCGCTACGAACGGGGCTCCTGGCCTTACTAGGAGCGATCGGACGCTACGAACGGTTCTACGGACGGAGCAATGTTCGGCCAAGGAACGCCCGGCAGTAGGAGCACCTGCCCTCCGTTTTGCTCAATGCGCTGCTTCTCCTTTTGCCGGATGGAGTAGATCAAACGGAAAGAAACGGTCGCTTCGATTTCCCCATATAACTGAGACATATTCAGAATGAAAACTCTTGCTACCTGCTTACTAGGCCGAATAAGCAGGGACGCCTATGGCTCTTCACCGTTGCTTACCGGTAAACACGGGGAAATGGAGGCTCCGCACACCAATTCCTTCGGTGCAAGAGCATGCATCAGGCTTTGTGCAGCTAGGCAGAACAAAGACATTACTACACAATCAGGGCCCACAGCTGATGATGTCTCTTGGCCAAGCAAAATCACCCTACAGCCAGGTCGTGTTCCGACGTAGGCGGCATCCAGGTAGCTTTGTCCTTGGGATCGTTCGGCTTGTGATCTGCCGAGCCGCCCACCTTGACAACCAATGTTAGGCAACTGCAATCTCACTGAATCTTCCGAGCTTTAGGGGGGGATTTGTGAGAATTGCTGAGACAAGAAAGTTTCAGCAAAGTTCTTCTCAAGTTGGCCTGGGATAGATCTCCTCACATGGCCTAATAGCTCAGCTATATTTAACACAGCTGGCTCTGACGTGCAATCAAGAGGCATACTCTGCTTTTCCCTCGGTGGGCCAGGTACATTACATCAGAGCGGCCGAAGCCAGGAGTTCCCTCGGCATTAGAATCATCGAATCATCAATGACCCCTTGTCACAGCTATGTCTACATGCAGGACCACCAACTCATGCCTCCATACTCTAATCCCACACAAAATGAAGCAGAGGCGTGAGTTTCATCCTGCTCTCTGAGGATTCTCGTGGATCTGTCCTCTTTCCACAACAGGCCCAAGGCACAGAAGGCCCAGTGGCCAGGCGAGAGAGGACCTCAGATCGGGACAAGGGCATCGCTGGTAGGAGCAAGGACGCTACGAGTAGCTCCTGGCCTTACTACTAGGAGCAAGATACTGGTAACAAAGGGCATCACTACTAGTAGCAAGAACGCTATGCCTTAGACCGACTTCTCATGTCAGGGTTGCCAAGGGGTGAATTGCCGGGTGTCTTCCACTCCAAACAAGAGTCCGGAAATCTGACGACGAGACTCTTCTGCTTCCTATTTACGATACAGTGGGTTCACGTCGAATCACAAGGGCTGAAACATGAGAGCAAGCGGTAAATTTGGACCTCTAGGACTAGGACTTGCCCGGACGTGTTCTGAGCTCCCCCTTGGGTCTCAAGATCTTCACACCGAGGCACTCCCTTTCGTGCTGGGCGGCCCAAGACCATGCGAGAGTCACCGGCCTCGCGCCATGCCCGTCTCGCGTGTCTCGCGTGGCGGTCTCAGGCGTCCGGTTTCAGGACCGAGACGGTTTCGTCCTCTCCGGGTGGGTGCCGTTTCGTGTCTCAGCAGACTTGCCAGGTCCAAGTCGACTGGTGCCCTGTCGACTTGAGGCATCGGCCCAGGCCAACATGACCTTCCGGTTCGGGCGGTCAATGATGGCCACCTTGGTGCAAGAATGTGTGCCACGTTTCACGTAGCGAAGAATCTTGAAAGAACAATGTCCTCCCTCACATGTCTTGAAGAGCATAGCACGTCTTTGTCAAGTGAATGCATGCAATCAGC